AGTGAGTAGTCTTAGATAGATATTGATAGGTAGAGGATAAAAAGGATATTTATATGTAAATTTCGGAGAGTAGTATGTATGTGAGATTTTTTGATGTGTTTTTTTTTTTTAAAACGAGAAAGCGGAATAGGAGTTTCGCCTTAGTTTGGTGGGCTAGGAGAAGTGTATAGGAGACAGGAGGGGGGGGGAGGAGGAAACGAAGAATAGAAATAGGTACGCCACGGCAACGAACTCCCCACGGGCAGCGTGATTGCCAAAGGTGGAGAAATTCTCCTGTTCGGATTACGGGAATAAAAGTAGAGGCAATTATTCTATGTAACACTAGCAGTAGTCATAGTAATAGAGGGTAATTGGGTTCGTGACTTGGGAAAAAAGTGGTGAACTGCGGCCTACTAAGGAACTATGGAGTACAAGCATGATCAACAGCAAGAGCATGGATCCCAACATCTTCCCCAGAGGATGAAGCAAAGAGAGCACTCAATTGGGCATGATTGCTATACTTCCTCCCTTCTCAACCCCAGATTTTCTTCCCTTCTCCTGCATGATCCCCCTTCAATGCCTCCAAATCCAATGTTCTTTTGTTCGTTTCCGGCTCACCTTTCATGCTGACGTCATGCGGCAAACTCTCGGGCTTTTCTCGTTTTTTTTTGTCTCTTTCATTCTTTCTTCCACCCAACATCTGGATATTTCTCTGATAAGACTGCTATGCTGAGTGATTTGAGATCAACTATTGTATACCAGCAGTTTCCGAGTTGAATACGCAGTAATCCTCCAAATAGATCATGCTTGGGCTTAATGACTCCTGACTTGTTCCCGAGTTGCCAACTCCGAGCCTTGTCCGGGTCTCGCCCATCGGCCAAGTCTCGGTCTGTATCGGCTATGGATGTTCGGCCGCACGGAGCTTTCAACTCTTCATTTCAGCTAGACAGAGTCCTCCGAATGGCAGTGTTCGGTTATTCGACTCGCAGATGACAGATCAGAGATTTTCAGGTACCCATCAGAACCGGGTTCATACTCCAGGCAAACTCCGGATTTCCTTGTCCGCACTATGGACCGCAAAGTGATCGGGACCGGGTCGGCTATATAGTATCTATCCCCCGCAAGCAAAGCAAATGGCAGATGCGTTAGAAAAGATCATTGTTAAATCATAAAGCTACCTAGATATGCCGGTTCCCTAGAGTACAAATACAAATAGATAGACCAATCATATTTCAGCCATCCCAGGACCCTCTACACCATCCCAGTCAGGATCTCGCCATTGGGCTCGGTGAGCCACGCCAGACTAGACCCCCGACGATAAGCAGAAAAAAAAGAAAACCCCCATCTGTGCAACCGTTCAGTCTGTTCGCTAACCATGCAGTTCGGAGAAACGGTACTGCTGGGATCATGAAATGAGAATATGTAACAACAATAAGCGTGGAGAAGAAGCATCAAATCAAAATCATAGCCGGAGACAGGACAATTGGCAATCTTGCTGTATGAAGAGCGTCAGAGCTGTCGGCTTGGCACATCAATGCATGTACAAAAATCTGTTGTATCAGAGAAAGGCGTTGATTGCCAACAGCCTTCTTGGTGGCCAGCTTGAATCCGCCTTTTCCGCGCTCATTGGGTCATTGCTCCTTGGACTCGGGCGCGGTGGGTTCCGCGTCAGGCATCTCGGCATCTTCCTTGTCCCCCTTCTTCTCGGAGCCGGCCTCTTCCGCCGCGCCCGCCGGGGCCTTCTCAGGTTCAGGGCCCTTGATCCAGGAGCGGAATCGTTGGTTGGACTCGTCGACTTGGTCCTTGCTGAGCCCCTGCGCCCAGCTGGGGTTGTTGACAAACTTTTCCTTGAACCGATCGCGTCGTCTTTCCTTGACAGCGGCCTCCTCCTTGGCCATGTCCTCAGGCGACTCCTCTGAGGGAGCCTTGGGACGCCACCACCAATCGCAGCTCCCGGGTTCGTACAGAATATGATAGCTGTTGGCGCAGATCCGGATGATAAGACCATCCTGATGGACAAGCGGACGATAGTAGCGATTGTACTCCTCTTCTTGCTCAAGCTTGGGCGGCAGGTTCCGCTTCAGGAAGGGCATGCGCATCTGGGAAAATGGAACACCTTCCGTAGGATCACGCATCGTGTAGGCAGAGACGTAGTACGACCAGCGCGCTTCCTGGCTCAGCTCTTCGTTCTCCAATGTTGCGTCCTCTGGAGTGAGTAGTTGCACGGTGGTCTTCTTGGTTTGAGGGTTCTATAAAGCGGTCAGTCAGGCTGGACTTGCAAGGGTGGACCGGCAGAGGGAGGACTTACATAGGTAATACGATAGATATCGCCATCCTTGACCAGCCTCTCAACCTGCTTGCGGTACTGGATCTCCTGGTTATGCGTCGTCTCCTCCCGGTCCCGCTCCTTGAAGAAGAGATTGATGATGTCGGCGCTGCGATCCTTGGAGTCGCCGTTGAAGATGGAGCCAGCAAACTTGGCGATTCCGGCAAACATCTTTTCCAAATTGTATAGCTGGTACCCGCTTCGCAAGTAGAAGCGGCGCAGCGTCTCCTCCAAGTGCGAGGCATCCATGTCACCCTTGATGACCTCCTCGCACATGCGGACAATCTGTGGGTACAGGTAGGCCTTGGGGTCGCAATCGTAGAAGAAGTCGGTTGGAAGCTTGTCAATGAGACCGAGGTCACGGGCGGGTTTGGGGAGCAGCGCCCGGCGCACATGCTCGTGAGCGTCCTTCTCGTGCATCTTGATCCGCAAGAGTCGCGAATAGAGAATCTCAAAAGTGCGGAAGAAGCAGTAGATGTTCAGATTGGCATACAAATGATAAACCTTCTTGACGTAGGATTCATTCAGCGCGTATTCCCGCTGCAGATTGAAGTTCCCTTGCCCAGGATGTTCCATCCACTTCAGCTCCGCAACGTCAAACGCCTCAGCAGGGTCGGGGACGGGAGTGGACGGGACCAGAACAGCATCTGGGGTGCCATCACGGCTGGCGGGAGTACTGCGGTCCTTGTCCGATCGGTTGGCCTTCTCACTGCGCCGCTCGAGGACATCGCGGAGGAGATCCATCTTCTTGCCATTCACGCCTTTCCGGTTGCGCCAGGTTGAGACGTCTTCAGCAGCCAAGCTCTCATCGTCACCGTCTTCCCCGGATGGAGTTTCACTCGAGATCTCGTTCATGTAGATGTGAAAGGTATCACGATCCATGCCATAGAAGATCGGCACAAAGTCTTTGATGAACGCCATGACCTTTGAGGGATCGGCTCCGAATCCAGCGGAGTTTCGGTCAATGAAAAGTAATAGCAACTGAGTGGCGTCGATGAGAACAGCCGGGTCGTCAAATGTAAATTCGAACTGATGTCTGGGAACCGGGAATCCGCTCTTGCGTAACCCCCTGGCGTCTTCAAATTTGCTCTGAATCTCATTCTGGATATGCTTTGCCACGAATAGCTTCTTGTCGGTCGCTTTGCTGGCAATCGCTTGGTGATCCAGACTGCGCCAGTACGCCTTTTGCGTTTGCTCCCGCCAGACCTTGTCCCACTCACGCTGCGCCAAAATGTTAGTGGGTGATCCCGCAACGTAGGTTATCCGAATAACTTACCTGACTGGCTTTCCACTCTTCGCATTTCTGCTTCAAGCGGAAGAGCACAATCGGAAGGACGTGGCACGGTCTGTCAAACATTTCACGGATGATTCGCGCTCCGCGCTGTCGGTCGTATACTTTCTTGATCACTCGCTGATAAATGGCCTCACTCTGGCCACCAAGACCCGGTGGAAGTTTGAAGGCCGCTCGTTCCGCCTCGGTCATCACCAGGAATTGTTGAACAATCGGTTCAATTAGCTGAATTGTGCGAGTACAAGCCTCGATATGGTGGTCATAGTCATGTCTGTCCTCTTCAATACGGTGCAATGCATCTTCAAACTGGTTCTTGCGGTGGGCCACGAAGCCAGAGTCTTCAGACTCCCAAGTGGGATGGGACGCCCATTCATCATTCAGAACACTGTAGCACAGTTGGTCGCGGCCACTGCAGGGCTTCTGGCGCTCACGCTTCGGAAGGAGACGGTAGCTGGGTCCAAGGGAACGGCAGTGCGACAGGTTCACAACACCAGACTCCTGTTTGGGCTTCGTCTCAATGACCTTGTCTTCAGGTTCATCAATATGCATGAAACGCTTAAACCAAGCCATAAGCTCCGGGTTCGAGCCAATATACCCAGCGGCTTTCTTGATAAGGACATTCCTGTCAATGAGATCGGTAGAGTATAAATTACACAGTTTGAGGAACTCGTTGAACATTGACTTGTTGCCAATGTACTTTTTGACTCGATCGAAGAACGCAAACTCTTCTTGGCTGGGCGTCATCATCTGCGTGGGCTGAATGGGCTCAGGAAGAGCGGGTATGAGCGTTGGCGAAACGGCAGGGACCTCTGCTTGGGTTGGTTTGGTATGGTGCACTTTCGCTCTCTGCATATTTTGTGAGTTGTCACATTCAGGTGGATGGCAAAATGTAACAGAGGGGAGAAGCCGAGAGCAAGGGTGACGCAACGTGCAAAGGATATTCAAGGCAGCGACGACGTGAAGAAGAGGGACAGAGGGGTGTCAGGTAAGAGTTGGAATGCAGAAGAGATCAGGCGTGTGAATGGCGCGGATTTAGATTTCGCTCACCTTGTTGGCGTTGCCAGTCTGCAGGGCTGCAGGACGACCAGTCTGGGCATCAGCCACCCTAGCGACCTCAGCGCCTGCGGAGGGTCCAGAAATCGAAGAGGTCAACGTCGAGGGAGCGCTAGGACCACCCCTGCGTTTCTTCCCCTCCTTGGCAGAGTCCTTGACATTGAACTGACCCAAGGGTGGCATTTTCATATCCCGACCAGGAGTCTGCGACGGTAGGGCGCCCGTGCTTGGATAGCCGGGTTCACCTCGCACATTGCTGATGGGAATCGCCTCTTCAGCTTGGCGAGCAGCTGCTTGCTGCTTGGCGTGTGCTGCAGATTCGGGAAGGAACTGTTTGAAGTCTTCCAGCAGATCTGGTGCAGTATTGAACAACTGGGTCACCTGAGCGTAAACATCCTGAATTGGCTTCGATTCGCGTTGATATGTCTGCAGGATTTCAAGAAACTGCTTGTAGATCTCTGGTGCACTGGCGAAGCGATTCTATCCGAGGTGTTGCTTTAGTAAGAGTTCTTGCCCCTGAAACCACAATGAAAGGGTTAACCAACCTTGATCTTGTTCACATAGCTGATCGCGTGGTTGAATTCCACGGGTCCGCGCTTGTTCAAGTCCGCCTGCGTGCCCTGCAACATACCCGAACCAATGCCAGCCAAACTGTTCATGGGCTGAGTCAAACTGGAGGCTTGTGCAGAAGCAGGAGACACCTGCATCATTCCAGGTCGTCCCATTGCGGCAGATGCGGCCGCGGCACCCTGGAGTTGCGAAACACCACGTTGGTCTTGCTGGTGGGCCATTGCTGCGGCACCCGCTGCAGCTTGCTGCTCTTGTTGGGTCGGGTAGTCAAAGTGATGATCTTGAGGTTGACCTTGTGCGCCTTGCCCGAACATGCCAGGGCCCATCATGCGAGATCCAGGGGAGTACGAGCCTGGAAGATTTCCTTGTTGTTGCTGACCCTGGGGCTGCTGTTGCCAACCAGGTCGCGCTTGATCGTAGTAGTCAGTTCGCCCATGTGGGCCCATGCCACCAGCGGGTCCCAGATCTCCTGCGGGGTCCATCGAGGGACGAGGACGGGGCATGTTCAAAGTATTCGTGCCTGAGGGGGTGGTCACCCGGATCGCATCTGGATTGTCCTCTGTTCCACACTCAATTCGGTAACCTGGCGGCAGGAACGTGTTGAATCCCTGGATCAAGGCGGGATGCCCGTTGAAAAGGGTGGAGACGCGCTGAATGACTCCCGGCGTGTCAATCCTGGCTTGGGTCAGCGAAGAATATTCGAATGGAACAGAACCCTTACGCTTGGCTCTTGAAATCTTTCATTATGTCGAGGAAGCGATTGTAGACGTCAGGCTGGTCCACAAAACGAACCTTGACCTGGTCCAGATAGCTAAGCGCATCCTGATGAGCTTGTCAGTATGGAAGAGCTTTCGAATGAGATGCAATTAAGGTAAGAAAACGGTGCTTGCAGTAGTGATGCCGGGACTGGTTACAGCTAACTGCACATGCCGAGGCTCCGTCTAGGAACCAGATGTGCAAACCGTAAAGCATAGTGGCGGAGGACAACGATGCTGCAGAGGCACCTTTCCTTTGTGCCAATCCCGAACACCCGAGGGGTGACGGCGAAAAACGAAAATAAAAGTAAAGAAAAAGGTGTACTCACATTTAGGATAGGTTGCTGTCCCTGCGCGAGAGCCGCAACATTTCCAGGAATTGGGGCGCCCGAGCCGTTGAACATCATGGGTTGTCCTGGTGGGCCGGCCGGGTGCTGCATATACGTCCTCGGAGTGCCCTCTCCATGCTGCATCTGAGCGCCGTAGATACCACCAGGGGCCCCAGATGGTTGCATAGCGCCTTGAGGGCCGTTGGGCGGATTCGATCCCAGATTAGACAAGAGCCCGTTGGGCCCGTGAATGGAATTTGGCACTTTCGACGCTACTGGTTGATGCAGCGGAATCGACCCAGTATGACTCTGCACAGGGTGATGCTGCTGCTCACGTTGACGCTCGAGTTGCTGGCGTTCCAGCTGCTCGCGTTCGCGCTCACGCTGTTCACGTTCTCTATGGACCATTTCCTCCTGTTGTCGCTGTCTTTCGATCAACTCACGTTCTCTTGAATCTCGCTCGCGCTCTCGGTTGAGGGACTGTGGAGAAGGGTGTTGCATTGTTTGACCGATACCCGGTAACGAGTGTCCTGTAGCGTGTGATGGAGCTCCTGGGTGCTGGCCATACGCGGGTTGATGAGGGCCACCGTGACCCTGACTCAACTCCGCTAGCCCGGGGAGGGAATGACCGGGGTTCTGGTTCGCGGGATGATAAGGACCTGGGGCAGGAAATGGTCAGCTACCGATCCAAGCTCTCAATCCACGCACAAAATAGCATGTGAAGGCATATTCTAACCAGCGGGAGGCGGAAGGACTGGTCCGGCGGGTTGTGAAGATGGGCCCTGCTGAGGCGGGGGGTTCTGGCTGTGAGTTCAAAAGAAGAGTCAGCGATAAGGTCTCTGCGTGTGTCTGAAGTATCATAAATGCTCGCTAGAGAAAATACCTGAAAGAACCCAATGGACGAGGTTGTTGGTTCATCTGGTCCATCCCAGGGTGCGAAGGAGGGCCACCGGCAGGGTGCCAGTTATCACTGCCAGAAGAGTTCATGATCTCTGCATGAATAAGATGCAAACAACAGAGTCCTGCTCCGAGATACCGGAGGAGTATGAGGCTTTGGATCGGGCAGATGACAAGAAAATGGCTGAGAGATGTTCGCCAAAGCTCTAGATCGTTTCTTCTTTCTTGCACTCTCGGGTGTTCTCGCTCTTGGTCATTTCACAAAGCCATCACTGTGCTGCAGATCTTGAATTACCACAGAAAGGACTATCACAGAGAAAAAAAGACTGAGGTCACAAACGAAGCAAAAGTATGAGCTAGGGAATAAGGGCAAAGGATTAGAAGACCAAAAGACTGCTTCAGCCAGCACAAGTAGTAGATCAGTTGGGGATGATGGTTTGCGCGCGACGGATCACAGCTGGTCTCCAAGAGGCAAGGCGGAGGCTTTCAGGACGCTAACCACTTTCGTCCATGGTGCCCTGGCCCGGGACGAAGCTTTTCCGAGCTTTGCGATCAGAGTCTGATTGGCTGATTGGTGGGATTATTCTGCCTCTGCTGACTTTACTCTTTTTTCCCTCTTGTGTGTTTGACTCTTTGACAAACTGTTGTCTTTCTCTGTGGGCTTTTCTCTCCCCCTTTTGGCGCTAAAAGTGTCAGTCAGGGCTTCCGACGTCATTGACAGGAAGGATTCGGTGCGCACTCTACTCTACTACAAGCTACACTTATCTACTACTTTTGTAGAGTGTCGCAGTCCTTGAAGTGAGGCTGTTGTCTTGTTGACTTTACCACCATTGCTTTTCGAACTTGGGAAACTGCTTGATATATACCTTCATTTAATAATAGAAAAGGACGGCTGGCGATATACATATGGGCAAATTGCGATTGTAATACCCTAGGACCAACCAACAAAATATCACAAAACGAAGTGCTTCAAGGACAAGATTTCATCAAGCAAAAACCAAAATGTCCCCATGATTCATCTATCACACTAGAGAGAAGCGTGTACTCACATTCCATCTGAATGGTGGTATTCTCACTCTTGATGCAGCCTGCATATTTGAGCTGCAGATCAGTAATACAAGAAGTGTATGGCATATATGCCTCCTCGCCCATCAAGACATTGCACGCAAAGGGCGGAGACGAGACAATGAGCAGAGATTGTGTTATGAGGGTCACCGCCGATAGCTTTGCATCTTCGTTCTCTATTAAACCTCGCACCAAAACGCCCGCAAACATCATTCATCCAAACAGAATGACCACACCCCACCTGAAGAAATCAAGATTCCCATGCTCCATCATTATGAAAGGGGAAATAGGGAAGAAGGGCTCGGCCAACTAGGAATGAAGGGAACAACACAAAAATCCTGCAAGGCCAAACTCCATCCGAAAGCTAGGAAAAAGATTCTGAATTTAGAACTGGCAACTTGGATTTTGGAACTGCGGATGCTGCTAGTAACCTCTTTTCTTCTGCACTATACTTTGCTCAAAAGGTTTGCCTCAAAGTCTCATTCTCTGACACGACCATCAAATTGTGATGTAAACCTGTACGGTCAATAGTCTTACAAGGCGGAGAAGACAAAAAGCTGTTCCGATAGAATTAGCTCCCTTGCAAATTTCACCAGGACGATAACAGGAGGGAAAAGTAGATCAAGGACACTCACGTTATTTGTAGCAGCAATGGCAATGCTATCCTCATAAGGATGCCAGCTCATGTGAAGAATCTTCTTGTTGAAATCGATCTGATCCGCATCGGTCTCCTTCTTCATCCGACTGCCAGGACCAGCAGGACTACCCGCCCTGGAACCATTCTTCTTGCCGTTCTTATTCATAGGTGTCGGAACGCCGACCTTCTTGGCCTTGAAGGCGGACTTGTCTGCTTGCAGTACGATCTCCGTTTCCTTGCTAGGGTCCGTGGGGTAGATCATAAAGTTGTTGTTGTAACTTCCAGTCATAACGTTCTCCGCATCACCCGAGAAGACCACCTCAAACTTATCAAAGATGCTGTCATTCTCGTATGTGTCACACAATCTTGGCCGTAGATGCTCGTGGATCGGAATGGTCTTCACCGGCTGCCTCTCCATGTTGACATCCCAGATCTTGACTGTGAGGTAGTCTCTTGACACGATGTATCGACCGTCGTGCGAGAAACGGACGTCCGAGATAGATGAGATGATTTCGGAGAAAAAGGAGCGAGACGAGGCATCTTCCTCTTGTTCGAAGACTGTCATGGAAAGTAGGGTCAGTCAAGGGTCTCAAGGATTTTCATAGATAGCGTGGACCACATACGCTTCGAATGCTCATCGCACAACGCTCGCTGCCGCATGTCGGCAAGCTTGATTGTGCCTTTCGAGCTGGCGTACATGAACCAATTGCAGCTAGTGGGATGGAACTCAGCAGCCGTGATAACCTCTGTCAGCTCTTCCATATTTGCAGGTTTAATATCGACAATGTTGAAGCTCTGGTCTTGGATGTTAAGGTTCCACAGGTTGATCCGAAGATCGTCGCTGCTGATGAAAGTCTCCCCATCACTGTTCACGGAGATGCTGTTGATGTGATATGCGTGCGCATTCGCATATGTCCTCCGAGGGACAGCTGCAACGACGGTATCATGATGTGTCATCCGTGGAAGCTTCAGAGCTGATGCATCCTTGAAGGACAAACGGGGCGCGCGCGGCGCCCCTCCACCACCAACAGCACCCGCGGGTGTAAGCTCGTTCGATAAGTTGTTCTCCGCTACCACCTTCAGCGACTTGTCGAACACCTTCCACAGTTTTATCGTTTTGTCATTCGTCGAAAGGAGGAAATGGGATGCGTTCTGTCGTCTACACCACTTTATCTTGTTGATCTTCTCTTCGATCTCTAGGGATTTTAGGTAATCGAATTCCGGCTCGTGCGACTGAAACTCGGTGTGAAACTTATACTCGCAGGTTTTTTTCTGGTTGACTTATTAGAACCTTGTGCATCGTTGAGGTGGTAAGAAGGGGTCGTCGCTACCGTCTCGTTCCGCTCAAACAGCACTACTCTACCGCCCTTGTCTCCCGTGGCCAGATAGTTACCGGTGTGATCGAACTCGACAGTGGAGATGATATCCGCTGTGACATTGTTAGGATTTGGTTGTTCAATCAATTGCGAATTGAAATCGCCATCGTGATCGAGTGCCTATGGAAATCGAGTGCACGACATAAGATGCTCATCATACCTTCTGTGATATCTTCCACATCGCCTTTGTCACCGAAGCATCTATTTCAAAATAGTCAGTGGCTTGCTCTGCGAGCGAAACGGATGCATGAGCCTCGGTGGAACGCGAGGACAACGCCAGAATTCATCCTTCCCGTCCAGATGCCCATCCTTGAGCACCATTGCACATGAAGGAAGCAATCATTAATCGACGCAGCTCAGACCATGGAATCCACTGTGACAAAAGACCTCTGCGCTGGGGACTCACTGTGTGAACTTCCAGGTAGGTGTACCTGGCTCCCGGTCTACCATTTTCCTTCAAATACCACCCTTGACTAGGGTAGTTGAGCGGATCGGAGATAGAAAAGATCTATAATCCTGTGCTCAGGATCTTGATAACGATTCTTGATGAGAACGGGAACAGATGGGATCCGACGTTGTGGCTCAGGGAAGGAGGTTGATATTTTTTTCCGTTCTATTTTGCTCTTGTTGTTCCGGCGAGGAATGATAGCGGCTATGACGACCAGGTCCGATGGAGAAGCGAACCTCGAGTGGGGAAATCAATGAGGAGCGAGAGGGGTTTAGACTGGTTCTATCAGTAGATATAGAAGGGCGAGGGGAGGAAAGTGCGGAAGGATTGCGACGTCAGACAGGATTTAGTAAGGCAGAGAGATCCTGGTCCGTTGGTAGGTGACTTTTGCAGGCTGAAGACGACAAATGATTGACAGCCTGGGCTGATTGAGGTCAGGAAGAGGGGTGAGTGGAGTAAAAATTTCGGTGTATTAGATGCGTTCAGCCCTTTTTTGTCTGTTTTAATTGATTTTCTGAAGAAGAGAGGAAGAGGAGAGGATTCGAAAATAGCAAGCAACAACAGACGAGAGAGTCTGTTGGAGAAGCTTGGGAAGCAAGAGAGCAGGTGAGTGGGAGGAGATTAGGTCAGAAGAGAGAGTCAAGACTGTCAGTAGGTTAAGGTAGTCAGTCAAGGTGTTGAGGTGAGGCGGCGGTGGAGACGCTCATGGAGAAAGGCAAACTGCTACTACGGAGTACTGGTGGACTACAGCAACGCAGAGACGCCCAACTACGCTGACATCAACCACTTGGTCGCTGTAACTCTGCGTCTTTGTCTTTGTCTAGACCATTGCTAGATTGGATGCTCAAGGTCGCAATTATCAACCTGGCGTCATTCCTGATCTTATTTTTCAGGAACAGCTTTCATTCCTGAAGCTCTAAAGAGCTTGTCTGCTTCTTCCTATCATCATAAACCCTTCGGTCCCAGTCCACATGGCGATGCGGTAATCCCATATGGCTATTTTCCCTCTCAGGCTATCTAGACCATTTAATGATGACTGTCATCGATGAAGGTCATACTATTACAGACTCATCTGTAAAATGTCATTGTCTTTCGCTCACTTCGAGACTGCTAACCTTCCAGTCTTCATGAATTGATGGCCTGAGGCTCGTCACATGCCTTCCTGCACATTCCGACTCCGTTAAGCCGAACAATGACAGACTGCGTGCCGAAGCTTGGGCGATCGACCGTCATCACTAGTATTGCTCTCTGCTTGACAATTATCTGTTGATATCCCTATGCTCAACTGATTTCACGATAGCTAGGATTTAATTTCCGTCGTGCGTCCGCCAGCAACCCCTTGAATGTGCATGGAGTGTCGCACAGATAATCCCCGCCATTGACCATGTCCGACAACAGCGAGAAGCGGGGCACTGGCGAGAAAGCCCCCAACAACCCCAGGAAACAGGCCGACTCGCGCAAGAATGACCCAGAGAGTCAAAACACTCCATCTCTCACCAATCGCATCCAGAATTCCGCAGCTGGACTGGCAAGGAGTGCCTTCAACGCGACTGGCTCATCCGCGGACGCAGCGCATGTGTTGGCCAGCGGCAGCAAAGCCGGACCATCGTCCTCGCCATCGACCTCCGCCCTAGCAGCAGCAGAACAGTACAGGGAGACCGCGACTCCTACCTTGTCGACTCGAGCCCACTTGGCCACTCACCCTGCGGCGTCATTCCGATCATCGTCGACAGGTCAACAGGGTGCATTCGAGCTCCCACCCCTCACCGAGGATGAATTCCAGCGCACATACGACGAAAGCCAAGTACACAGTAACATCGACTTCTCTCCTTCAACAGAAACAGATAAAGGAAAAGGCAAAGGCAAATCAAGCAAAACAAACCCTCCCTTCTCAGATACCGAGCCCTCATCCTCGTCCTCGGACCTGAACACCGCCTGGCAAAACGCCCTCCCCACAACCGCTACCACTCTGCCCTCCGACGGCGAAGCCGTCGTCTCCCTCCTCTCAGATGCGTCCTTCAACCCCGAGTTCCCTCCCTCCGCTGAAGAGCCCTTCGAACCCATCGAGACGGAGCTCCTCCCCCAGCAACTGACACCACTGGAGATCGAAATGCTCGAGTCCTTCCGCCGCCACGCCGCGCTCGAGACCTTGACGCCGACGCCGGCTACACAAGCACTCTCGCAAACGCACAGACTCACTTCCTTCAGTCTCGTCCCGGACATCGAGTCAGTCCTCGACAGCGTCCCAGCTGCGCAGGGTACGGATGCCACGGCGCTGCGGGATGCCGTTCTGATGAGTCTACCGGGTGCGGCGGAGTGGATTGCTGTCGAGGAGCGGTACCATGATGAAGTTTGGGGATACCTGCGGCCGACACTCGAGGCGGCTGCGAAGGAGATGGAGGCGAATAAGGAGCAGGGCGCTCCCGTGGAGGACGGGCCTGCTGTTAGACGATTGAAGATGATTTTGAGGCATATGCAGACTTGATATTTATATCTCAGACAAAGTATTACCACGTTCAGTGGGTATGCTTGCCCTGATATTTGGCTGCTCGGATCTTCATTGTACAATATTTACCGACACTGATGTATCAATTCTCTCGCTGTTGAGTTTGCGAATGATGCAAATAAAGCGTAAAGAAGTTCTTAGAGACATACAACTGGAAATGAATCTTGAAGATATTCAAATTGTATCTTACAGACCAATAAGCTAATCATATAAGCATCAGGAGACATCATCCCTGCATCTCATCACAAGAAAACATAGTACCAAGTAACAGGACGTTAAACAAAATCAAAAAGGGGTATGTATCAGAAGTTCAGAACGGTCGGCATAGGGTTTTGTCTTTCCCGGTACGTAAAATATATGTCTCATATCCACCTCTATATCGCACGCACTTAGAACTCCAGGCTGGGGGTCTGGCCCTTGACGCGACCGATGACGATCTGGGCAGCATATTTGGGGATGACTTCGTCGTCATGGAGCATAGCAAATTCTGGGAGAGTTGTTAGCACGGGTGCCTGGTGGTCAAAGGAGGGAGATGACATACCTTCCGTGGCATCACGGCCCATGAAGTTGTACAGGGCGTTGGCACCACCGGGGTGCTCGTCGAGCCAGTTGGTCACGTCCAGGACAACACCCTTAACGACGATCCAGAGGTCATCCTTCTTATTGTGCTTGGCAACCTCCTCCATGGTGTACTCCGTCTCGGGAATCTTGAAGTTGGAGATGTCGTTGGGCTTCGAGGCCTCGGCAGCGGCGGGGGCGCCCTGACCGCCAGTCTGGACAGCCTCAGGGGCAGCAGGCAACTGAGCGCCGCCAGCGCCGCTGGCAGCGGCACCGTTCCACTCGACGGAGATCTTGCCGGGGGTGGAAGGATCGATGTGCAGAGAGATCTGGCCCAGACGCTGTTGGGCGGTGGAGGAGCCGGAGGTCAGCTTCTTGAACAGGTACTGGCTGGCACTGTCACCAGCAACACGACCGTAGACAACGCAGCCCAGCAGAGAAGAACCACCAAGTCGGTTGGCACCGTGGACACCACCCGCAAGCTCACCGCAAGCGTAGAGACCATCGAAAGGCTTCTTCTCGGAGTTGAGGACCTGGGCGTGCTCGTTGATCTCGATACCACCCATGGTGAAGTGCAACACAGGCTCCATGAGGGCGACATGGAATTCATCGTTGATGTCAAAGGGCATGTTGTGGAAGAAGCGCTTGCCCCAGGGGTCCTTCTTCTTGCCCTCGGCGATGAGGTTGTACTCATCGAAAGTCTTCTTGAGAGCAGCCTCGCCACAGCCGATTTCCTTGGCCAACTCCTTGCCGGTCATCTTCTTCATCAGACCACGGCCGGAGTAGTGACGGGTGTGGAAGTCCAGAACATTAGAGGCCTTGCTGTTGAGGACCAGGCGGATGGGCCACTTGCCCTTCTCCTTCTCCTTCCACATCTGGCCCGAGACATAGTCACGGTGGCCCAGCTCGTCAGAGAAGCGCTGACCGTCCGAGTTGAGCAGGAGACCACCTTCACCGCGGAGAGCCTCAGCAGCAAGGAACTTGAACTTGGCGGTGGGGTCCTTAGGGTCAACCAGACCGGTAGGGTGCACCTGAACCTTGTCCATGTCAATACCGTTGGCGCCGATAGCCATCAGCATCTTCTGACCATCACCGGTAGCGTGAGTGCCGTTGGTGCTGGACAGGCCGAAGGTGTCGGGACGATGTTTCTTCAGAAGAGAGCCTTCGCCAAAGTCGGCAGCGTAACCACCAGTAGCCAAGACGACGACCCCGTCTGCGGTCAGGGTCTGGCCGTTCAGCTCGTAGGTGACACCAGTCACTGTCTCTCCAGACTTGTTGATAGAGGTGACACGAGCCTTCTTGACGATTTGCACTCGCTCAGGCTCCTTCTCGCTGAGCTCTTCTAACCGCTGCATGAGAGCGTACGTGATGGCCATACCGGGGAATTTGGCATCGTGACCACGGTGTGTGCGGGGCTGGGAGTGGCCACTTTACGGCATTAGCAACTGAACAAATAAAGAATTGCGAAGATGGCAAATGTAAGGGCGATCGCACTCACCCAAGGCGAGAAACAAGAGTAAGGTCGAGGTTGAAAACATCCTGCAGCCATTCGACCGCAGCAGCGGACTTGTATGTAAGGACCTTGATCAACTCTGGACGAGCCTTATCTCTGGCGGATTTGAGGGTATCTTCGTAAAAAGTCCTGACGCTGTCCTGGATCCCCAGGTCCACCTGCGTACGGGTGAGGGCACCGTTGATACCGGAAGTGGCCTTGGTGGAGTTGCCACCGAAGAAAGCTGATCAAATTAGCCTCTTGTAATGAACTTGCAATGTTGAGCACGAATTCGAAGGAACACTCACCCTGCTTGTCAAGAACGAGGACATTGCCTCCGTTCAGGTAGACGGTGTGGGCGGCACTCAGACCGGACACTGAGAGACGAGGCAATGGTCAGCAAGAAAGCCCGGGCCAAATCCAATAATGCGGGGAAAGCTATCACTCACATCCACCACCGACGACGATGACTCTGGGAGAAGTGGCCATCTTTGTGTATGTATGAAAAAGTGAACGAATAGAAACAACAAGGAGAGGGTTAAGGATGGGGAAAGGGGAAATCAAAAGATGGGAAAAGAGAAAAAGCGCGAGATCTTTTAAAGTATGAAAGGGAGTAGAAGGCTTTGGACAGTGGGCAGGATCCGGGGGGAGAGACGATTCAGAAGCCGACAGGACATTGGCTGTTATTCGGCCGAGGCACAGACTGTATGGTAACTGCGGATACAGTGGGCCAGCACTCTTTGAATCCGACCCGAGGACGGTTGATAGCTTGGCGGTGATGGAGATGAGAATGGGTCTTTTGAAGAAGTAGTCTTCAATTACGATGATTCTGGTTTGTCCATTTGTATTGGCAGTAGTGGATATCTATGGAGTTGACATCTTCATCATGAACTCCCATGACAGGCAAAAGGACAATGTACACGGAGTACAGGCTGTACAGTGCGAAACATACAGATGAACTGGATTCGATAGTCAAATAGATAGTCCTCTTCATCCCTGTCAATGTCCATCACATGCGAAAGGAAATCCAGATATTAGGGAGTATCTATGCCTCCTTATTATTGGTACTGGGTCAGGAAAAAAAATGCCATGTAATCATCATCACCCACAGTCACCAGGTGCTGTTTTGCTGTTTCTCCGCATCAGCCTACCCCAGGGGATTTTCACATGCTCTTCAAGGACCCAAGTCAGCTGTCGTCATGTCTTCAGTCTTCTCTTTCTGTTGACGGTATGACTGTCATTGTAGACGGGGCAGACATGTTTAAAGTAATTGCTAAGAGTCTTAGTCTGATGGAGTGCTTGATAATTAGAGCTATGTAAATGGTCAGGTGCAACAACTGGACTTCTCCCGACCAACGGACATATTTTTGTTGACCTGGCTGAGGAATAAGATATCTGAGCTGAGGAGCTTCAGGACAGAGCATATTAATACCTCGCTTCTCACCACTATTATTCCACTATTGCTACCTCTCATCGTCACATAAGACCATTATGCCAGCTACTTAAGTTGTGCAATGCAACCTCAGCCAAATGACGGCAGAGCAAAGCATTCACATTGTACCTCGGACCGAGAAAGCACCTTTCGAATATGGTATGATCTCTGCTCATTAACACCAGCATGGGCCCATTAAACTACGTTCATATCTATCTATCTTCTGTCTAATCCAACTTATCTTACGGACTACACAATAAATCATTCCCCCATGATATTGAGCTCAACGCTTCCTCGCTCATACAGATCCCCGTACGGCGTACTGACAGTACGCATCGGCAATTGATCACGTGCGTGCACCTCGTCGGCAACTTATTATCCCCTTGGGGCAAGCAATGACCTCATAGACTGGATTTACCACCAATGACCTGTCGACCATCAATAGCCGGCCAGAATTCCTGACATAATCATGCCGCTTATTGAAGTTGCTGTTTTGGGTTCCAGCAGCCGATTCTACTGCATTTAAGATTTGTGATAACCAAGACGTAGAACTGCATATTGGGTTGTTTTAGCAGCTTGTTACACTGTATGTTTTCTATGATCTCGATGAGCAGCAGTATTGTCACTGTTTCGTGATATGACTGCTTGTCGATCTACTCTCGGTGTTATTTCTCCCGAGCCACTCAAGTTGGATTAAGATTGTGAACGGAACAACAGTCTCGGGAAACCTAAGCCGAGTCTCCAGTCTTGCGACAGCTTGCTCGGAGATCAATGATGCGGTTTGCAAGAAGCTCGAGTCGGCCGATAAATCTGAAATGGATATGCAGGCAGAACTCTACTTGGAGATCTGGGTTGCCGTTCGGTGAGGTATAAGATTTAGGCCACTAGATTACCGAAAACTAGATCGGATTTGTCGTGATTCCTCAACAGTCGAATTGCAGACTAAATTCCAGACCTAAATGGTATCATCATACAAAGCTGGCGTGCACACCATATCTCATCAATCCATCCATGTCACGCTCTTGGTGACGAGGAACTCTTCCAACCCCTGAGCAGCGTTGAATCGGCCCCATCCACTGTTCTTCACACCACCGTGTGGTAGGACAGGTTCGTCATGAATGGTCATACTGTTGATGTGTACAGCACTGCAATCCGTCAGTATTGTAGGAGGACGGACGTGGTATCAAAGATACTAACCCAGATTGTATCTTCTTGGCAATCGCCAACCCCCTCCTCAGATCTTCGGTGAAAACGGCTGCGGACAATCCATAGCCACTGCTGTTGGCGATCCGAATCGCTTCCTCGTCGCTGTTGACCACCATGCATGCTGCCAGCGAGGCAAAGGCTTCTTCCTGCCATACCTCCATGTCTTCCTTCACGCCTCCGAGAAGTACCGGTGCCATGCGCACACCCGATGCTCCTACTGTCCTGTCAACAGACCCGTGGATGATGTGAGCGCCTGATTCGACAGCCCTGTCAATCATACCCTCCACACGC